GTCTTCTACAACGCTTGTCAATAGTGTCTTCTACAACACTTGTCAATAGTGTCTTCTACAACATTTGTCAATAGTGTCTTCTACAACATTTGTCAATAGTGTCTTCTACAACACTTGTTAATAGTGTCTTCTACAACATTTGTCAATAGTGTCTTCTACAACATTTGTCAATAGTGTCTTCTACAACACTTGTTAATAGGAGAGAGTTTATGGTAGAAGATGTATTATTATTTCATCGTCCAAAGTATCTGCCTGCTTATGAATTTGGATCATGATTCACTAGAACATTTTTATGTCCGTTTTCAGGCTGTGACCCGATAAACCCAATCGTGTCGTTATTAGGATTTCTAGGTCACTCTGACGTCACGGTCCCTACACGTTCGTTGGTTAATGTGAAAGATCCAGCAAAAAGTTTATACCTAGCTACAAATAGCTTGTATGAGAAGAGAAATTATTATTGCTAGTATTGTTAAAATTTGCATGACTCATTTCGTCGGATTGTAATATAATTATATTACAAGTAAATAATTTAGAAGTACACGTTGACTGAAGCTCTCTAGCGTCGATTTCTTATAAAGTTGTTTCTGACACGTTCTAAGAGTAAGGGTCAAATCCCATGCTCTATCTGATCAGAGTAGCCTAAGAGTTTGCTGTGAGTGCTGTTGAATGGCTGCCTCCCCTTTAGTCTATAAGTTACAAATTAGGGACGACTGTGCGCAGATAGTCTTTATGTAGCTCTGCGTGAAATTATAATACATTAATTCACAACTACTTTTAATGAAACATAAACAACTTATAACCGTCGAAGATTATCACAAATTTCTACTGAATTCTTTATCTGTTAGTAGTTATCCTTTAACAAATAAAATTGTATAGGTTCTGTTAAATAGAAGGAAAAACAAAGATATATTTCTCCTACTATATTTATTGTGGCTTTATTTTCTCGCGCCCGTCACACCGAACATGCTCGCCCTTTCAGCCGTGGGAGCGTTATAATGTGACGGTCAATCCCACTATTCGTTGGTAAAAGAGTAGCCCAAGAGTTGGCGGTGGGTGGTGATGACTAGTTGCCTTCCCTCTAGTTTTACACTTCTAAATTAGAGACGGCTAGCGCAGATAGCCCTCGTGTAGCTTTACGCGAAATTCAAGAACAAATAAACAAACAATTTTCTCGCGAAATGTGATCTTAGAACGTTAGATAACCGAAAAAAAAAGCGGAATCCTCAATAGCCTCGGCAATTGAAAGCTTTTTAATGCAGGATTAGAATAAATTAATCTATGAGACCTTTTTCCTTTTTTTTATTTGTGTACGCCAGCAATGCCAAGCGTGGGGGGCTCGCGGATACCCGATTCAATTTTATTATTTATTAGAATCTATACCAGCCTACCCTCAAATTGAAATTTGTTTACGCAGGATTAGAGTAATTAATATCTGAGATCTTGGGTGTGTTCAAATACATGAATCGAAAGGGTTT